AACCCTAACCCTAACCCTAACCCTAACCCTAACCCTAACCCTAACCCTAACCCTAACCCTAACCCTAACCCTAACCCTAACCCTAACCCTAATGAGTATATTGGCCGAAGCTAACCCCACCAATATGTGGTTTCCACGATAGTCTGGGAGGAAAATCAGTCATGCTCTGCTCTTTAAAATTGAAACTGGCTCTGAGACGCTACTCACAGTACGGACGATCATTCTCACGATAGATGTTGACTGCACAAATCGAGCCGATTTGATAGCAGATGTTCTGTCCCTGGTATTAGCGTAGTCCGTCATGCTGTTTTCATGTTGACTCACATATATAGCTGCTGAGACAGCGCGAGTTCCCACACTGTTTGAATTGCGCGATATCATTCCAACAAGAATTGCATGGGCTTTGCCGTTGATATTAGCTGGGCTTACATTTGGCACCCAAGGGGATCACTGACTGTATGGTTCGCCGTTGACCCCAGTAAGAAGGGCATATCGGATCCATGGACTAGCGGTACGCGGGATTGCCACGAGGCCGATGAGGAATGGAAGGACCCAGATATTGCTAACAGCTGAGAAGAAAAGGCGTTCGTTGAATCTCTCACTCAACCACACAATGACAAGGATCTAGTGGAGAATCAGTCATCGGCCTGACATGCCACTGAGAGCCTTACATTGACAAGAAATAGGAAGTATCCTGGGACGGCCAACATGTTGGCCTCGAATACAGTATAACCCAGAGTGCGGAGCGTCAGTGAGAGGTAATTAGCAGCAGGCTGAAAAGGAATGAAAGCAGTGATGCCCAGCTGCAGCAAGGTTAGATTTAGAACAAGAAGGGGAATCGGCAGACAGAGGTTCACCAAATATGTTGGCCAAAGATCATAGTCTGCAATGGCTTTCCAAATGCCCTTGAGATTAACCGCTTGCCGATTATTCATATCACCCTTGGACGGGTCATCGCGGAGGATGCGATTGACTAGCACCTTTTCCTCACGCTCCGTGAACCACCCAGACTTTCCGTAGAGCCAGCTGGCTCTGCCTCGGCATATCTTGCGTGTTTCAGTGACACTGGCGGGCATGACTAGGAAGGTGATGAGCCCAATCAAAACACTCATGAGGCCTTCGATCAAAAACCTATTCGGAGTCAGAGTGTGGACTTGCACTTTCCTTGGTCAGAGTGTTCTTACAGCCACTGCCATCCTGACCACCCGGCAATACCTCTCATTCGAAGAAGTCCCGCAGCAAGGACGGAGCCTATGATCTGTGTGACAGGGATTGCAGTCCAGAAAATTGATAGCCGGATGGGCAGCTCATTTCCCTTGAAGAAATACGATAGGTAGAGGACCATTTCAGGTATGAAGCCTCCTTGGGATAGACCAAGCATTGCACGTGTGACAAAGAACCCAGCTTTGTTGGTCACGGCACATTGACAGGCGGAGATTAATCCCCAGGAGATGATGCAAATTGGTGTCATGATATCCGGTCCAATCTTTTTGCTGATCAACCCCCCAGGAAGCTCGGCAGCCAAGAAACAGGCTAGATAGATAGTTTGACCTGTGTTGAAGTCGTTTGTATCCATGTTCAGTTCATTGAGCTGCAAATGTAAGCTTTTCGTACAAAACAAGTTCAGGAGTCCACAGTACCATGTTGTCCGATACTGCACGGTTCAGGTTCCTTCGAATCAGATCCAGAGACGAGAACATGACCCAGACCCAGACCATGATATAAAGATTGAGCTTGAGGGACGGGAGTCAGTCGATCAGCAACTCTGAAGCTGCTTAAAGCATCCTTACCTTTCGAACCAGCTTTTTTTCTTCGGTCGGGCCCCATTGAAAGAACGGGTCAAATCGATGTCTACCTTCGTATTTCGCCACTTCGTAAACTTGTCTCCAATATTCTGCATTTGCTGGTATAGCAAAGGGGTGTTGCTCGGTCGATCCAGTAAAAGTACCCTTGACATGCTCGCCGGCTTCGTCCAAGCCCAAAGGATGAATGCTGCCCTCTTCGATAGGAGAAGCGTTGTTTCTTCCGTCTTCCCCAGTGAAGGCTGACATTCCTTTTTCCGCAGGTACTTTCTCCTGTTTGGAGATAGACATTGTGTGTTGGAAAAGAAATAATCAGCTCCGCGTACCCGAATACACTTCCTGCTGCGCGAATGCTTTAGTTCACCCGCTGCCCGAAGAGTCGTTTTGAAATCATCTTTCAATAGGAGCAAGCGGGTTACGAGGTATGAAATAAGAACATCACGCAGCTCCATACAGTGCTGTTTTAATGCCATCCATCATGAACATCAGCTATCGATCTTCCCAAAGCCTCCGGGGTAGGAGTCCGCACTCAAAAGACTTCAAATGGATCCGGTATTCGGATGTGGGATCGTTTTCTCATGTCATCAGTCCGGAATCGCTAATGCAACTTTAGCAATGGTCGACTGAGATGATCAAAGGCTGAAAGTAAGATAGCTGACAAGGGGACATGCCCATCGCACAGAGGTTTGCACTGATAACGCAGGGGGCTGAGACCCTGTTAAGAAGAGTAAGCGGGGGTTCAGTTCCGAGATCTAGTATCCACCTGTCTTATCTCTCCACCAAACAATTATTATTCTGTAGCTCCTTTGAGACATCGTGTTATTGGATATGACGGGCATTCGACTTCTGTTACGGACGATAGACAGACATAGCCCTCACATCATGCGTTGGCGCATGTCCCCATGCACGGAGTTATACCCCGATGTTCTTAATAATTCGTCTTCTGGCAGACCTGGCCCTTATCGTTTACCCGCCGCCAAGCCGGTTTGGCTCGAGGACCTTTGAAACGACATTGACTATGCTCGACTGGGCGTCAGTGAGCACTAAAGAATAGAGACTCAGAAACCACCTGATGTAGAAATGCTCCTAGCAACCACCCATCAGCTTTGGAAGAGTTGTCGAAGAAGATGGATCTGCGTACGATCTAACATGGTGGCACTTATACTCTCAATATCAATAATCTGGCTTTCCACAACCACAACAACCTCGACCATGGATTTTCCTTTGACATTCACTTGAGAACTTTCCTGAATCTGTACCAAGAGGGAAGTGAATCTTGGTTTAAGACCTTATATAGAACCCCTAAACCCACTAGGCGCGCTGAAGCCCTTTTCCCCGTGCAAAAATCGCTGCCAGTAAGGCAATCGCTGCTACGACAGTATTAGCAATGAATGCATATCGCAACGCGTCATAGTAGACATGGCGTGCCAGCAATTGGACCTCAGGCGGGAGGGTTTCCAGGACGGCAACCGAATGGCGGATCTCGTTGATGATCTATGCATATCAGCCCCGAGGATTTATAGGACAGTGGAGCAGTCGAACCTTTTCTTTATCAACAACGCCTTCCAATGCCAACGGTAAACGTTTTGTGAGAATGTTCTGCAAAAGTGCAGAAGATGCAGCAACTCCCCAAACCGTTCCCATTGACCGAAAGAGATACACCATCGAAGTTGCGACAGCTTGCTCTTGAAACTAATCAGTAATGTTATGGGTCCCTCATTTTCTCGTTAACTCACCACTATGGTCAAAAGCGCTCAAGAACGTGAACAGAATTGCTGGATATGACATACCCTGCCCGAAATTTGCGGGTATCAGGTAGAAGAGATATTTCCACGGTAGGTCATTGAACTTCAGTGTAGCCACTAAGCCGTTGCCTACCATCATGAGCAGCGAGCCGAGCCTCACAAGCTCACTCAACCGACCCCAGCGAGACATGATGATACCAGACAGCAGCCCACCTGCAGGTGTAGCTAGCGATGGTACTACCAATCGTATCCCGGCATGGGATGCGCTGTCTCGAAGTACCACTTGGAAGAATAGAGGAAGGATGAACAAGAACTTGAAAATTCAGTACACTTTATAATTGGGGGATCAGGTTTGCACTTACAGAATATGCCGCCATTCCAACACATATATTACTGATTTGGTTTGAAATCGCAAGAGTGCCCTTCAGCATGCTAATAGGCATCACTGGTATTGATTTGGTTCGAGCCTCGACGACGACGAAGATGATCAGAAGAATCAGACTGGAAGTCAGCGCAATGACAACCCTGCTATCGCTCCAAGGATGATTGTTCCCACCCATGCTCATTGCTGCTAGCTGCGCGGACAGCCCTAGCACTAAGAGTATGGCTCCAGTCAAGTCAATTTGTTTCCACTTCGAGATTTGCTTTGTGACGTGCAGGTTCCGTTCGCTGATTGTTCTTTTTGCCTCTCTTTTTATAACGAAATGGCCAACGATAAACGCAAACATTGAAACAGGCACCTGACACAAGAAGCACCATCGCCAACCGATGTTGTCAGCGATGGCACCTCCCAAAGATGCTCCACAGATGGAACCAAATCCGTGGAGAACATTCTGTGTGGCCTGGTACATCCCGCGCTCTTGAAAGGGAATCATATCTGAATTGATTATGGTCGCCATTGTCATAAGGCCACCACCACCCAGACCTGTCAGTGCTCTCATCAGATTCAAAGTGATGATGTCAGGAGCAAGGGCACAACCAAGACATCCAATCATGAAAGTCAATGTGGCTGTGAAGAAGCAAGTTCGACGACCGAGAATGTCGGAAAAGCGCCCATATAGAGGTTGGAATGCCGTGCTGGTGATCAAGTACGATGTAGTAAGCCATGATATCGTATTCGCTGCGTTGAACTCGGATCCAATGACCGCGTACGTCGAGGCTGTGATCGTTCCATCAAACCCCGAGAGGAAGACGTTGGAGAAAATCGCTTTAAGTATTCTCAGTTCCATAACTATCAAGACTCTTGGATTACCTTACCGATCTCGACCCAGATAAACCCATGCCCCGGGCGCCATTTCTCATCTTCTGGTCTCGTCAGACGATGGGTACCTGGTAGTAGGTTTGTAGTCTCAGTTGTTATCGTGTCAGTACCAGCAGGGTGCGGTGACTCCTCATCTATAACTTGTACCAAGGAAGGAAATGAATCCATAGTATAATCACCTCGCAAGAGGAATGGAAATGATGTACTTCCGAGAATCTGAGTGATGCAGTTACGCTTCCATGGTATATCGACACCCAATAGAAGAAAGTAAACCCGGGAGGCTCATTCTGCAGCTTCAATCGTCCGAGCGGCCAAGGAGTTCTTTTGAACATTCAAGTGCGGAACAACTAATCTCATGTGTAGGACACTGCTCTCGACTTCACATTCGGTTTTGATGACAATTCAGTGAGTGTTGTCCTTGAAGCGCCCTGCCAAGGACACTTGGTGCTTGGACCTGCGATTGAGGCGGCGAGCATCTCGGGGTCGATGTCCGTAACGGAGGGCCCGCACCTGGAGTAAGGTTGATCAAACCGCCGGATTAGAAGTCCGTCAAGTAGCAATCGTCTACTCACGGACCGAATGTCCACTCGTTAAGGTGCTAAAATGTTGCGAATTTTTGCACATAATGGGATGAGTTGCTGGGCTGCAAAAGATTAGATTACGAAATCAGGTCGTCAAACACTGAGAAAACGTCGCAACTCTACTCCGAAGGCCTTGTAGAGACCTTATTGGACCATTGTGTTCGCTGGTGTCGGTATTAGAAGAGGTGATCCCGCCATCCCCTACCTTTGATGAGACGCTCATACTGTTTACACCATCCTAGATCCCTTCGCACTGTGACAATGCCTTCTCTAAAGGAGTCCCTAAAGCTCATCTCCATGGTGATCTCCATGGTGCCCACTGCAACAGCTGATTGGCAGTTCAAGTCTCGACCAGACCTTGCTCCACCACGGCTGAATATCACCATTCCCGCAACGAAGGAGGTAGAACAAGGCTACCTGTTCATGGCACCGTTTGCGGGATACCCTGAAGGCACTCATCATGGACCAGCGCAGGCTGCACCTTACATCTTCACTGACAACGGAGATCTTGTTTGGTCTGGTTTCACCTATTTCTCCATTTGGGCAACCAATTTTCAAGCTGCTCGGTATAAGGGACAGGACATCCTCTTCTGCTTTGAAGGAAGCCATAACGCCGCTTATGGCCATGGGCACGGCCATACCACGTTTCTGAATCAGAACTATGAAACCATTCGCGAACTCCGAGCCGGAAACCATCGACTGACTGACAAGCACGAGTTTCACATCATTAACGAGGAGACTGCATTGATTCAAATATATCATCCTGTTCCTTATAACTTGACCGCATATGGTGGTAGCGAGGAACAGCAATGGATTGTAGATGCTCGGTTTCAAGGTCCGTTGTCCCCTATCCTAGACCGTTCATAGCTAACTCTGTGTGATAGAACTGGACATTGAGACAGGCGCTGTTCTTTTCGAATGGAGCAGCCTGGACCATGTGGATCCATCAGGTTTGTCGGCACCTCGCTGGTGTAACAGACAGCTAACAAGGATTCAGAGGGCTATCTTCCTTTAAACCCTGGCCAAGCTGGCGCTGGGTACAACAGTTCTGATGCATGGGATTACTTTCACATTAACTCTGTCGACAAAGATGATCAGGGCAACTATCTTATCTCTGCTCGAGACGCGAACGCGGCTTACAAGATCAATGGAAAAACTGGAGAGATAATCTGGCAACTATCTGGGAAATCCTCAGACTTCAAAATGGGGCCTGAGGTCGAATTTGCCTTCCAGCATCACGCCAGATTCCAAGGCAGATCAGAAAACGGTACTAAGGAGATCATCAGTATCTACGACAACTCAGCGCATGGCACTGAAGATGGCCACGGTCACGAGGTGCACTTCTACAACATTTCCAGAGGCAAAATCATCGAGGTTGACACTGAGGTCTGGGAAGCATCAATTGTACAAGCCTTCCACCCGCCGGATGATCTTTTGTCAAAGTCCCAAGGCTCTACCCAACTGCTTCCGAATGGCAACGTCATGGTGAATTGGGGTTCCGAGGGGGCCATGACGGAGTTTAAGTCGGATGGCACCCCAATCTTCCATACCTACATGGATTCTGGTTATCTTGGGCTTGCAGTGGAGAACTACCGGGGTTTCCGCTATAACTGGACCGGCATCCCCACCGAAGCTCCTGCGATTGTTGCTTTGGAGGACCAGAACTCAACTCAGGTCTATGTTTCCTGGAATGGTGACACTCGAACCAAGGTTTGGCGGTTCTACGAAGTCCATGAGGATCGTCGCTCGTTTATGGGTGAAGTCAAGCGAGAGGGTTTCGAGACATCGCTGACCGTCAACCGTATTGGCGTCAAGACGGTGCAAGCCGTGGCACTGGATGCTGAAGGGTCCATGCTGGTCAACACATCAGCTGTGAAGCCGGAGATGATGATACATGAATTCAAAGCCGATAGCAAAAAGGAAGCGAAAGGACTGGTCCATTGGCTCACCTTCAAAGGTCAGAAATTCTTCAAGAGTGGAGATCTTTGAGTATCTCCTCCACATTCAATAGCGACACTGTGGAACAAGGTCTCACCCCAATGTCCATTGGCATTTCTGAGGTCTCAGCCTAGCGAATTGGCTACTTTGAGCTTTTACCATGGGAACTCTGCAGGGACTTGGAAAAGTGGCGGAGTGGTCGAACAAATGGTCAAAAAGGTCGAGCGCAATCCCAGTCTAAGCCAGATCTGCCGGAAGTTCGACTTACTTGCTCCTTATATTGTCCAGCAAGATGGACCGACACTCTCTTCTTACTACGTTTCTGGAGTAGTAGAATAAGGTTCTAATCAAGAAATCCTTGACATCCTCAACTTCGATATTGAAAAGTTAAGCGTCCAACACTTTTCCGCCGAATCGCAAAATGCAGTTAGGGAATTTCTCTTGGATGTTAGCTGAGCCAGAAACAGGAGGAAGAGGAGGAGGAGGAGTAGATGTAGCCCTCATCCAACCCTTGCACCTTCCTAGTTAGTCATAGCACTTACGTGATGCAACACGTGTAGTCACGGGATATGACGGACTCCTTAAGCGATTCCTTAAGCGATTCCTTAAAAGATTCCGTATAAGTATCCCTAAAGCGTCCTTAAGGGAGTTTCCTATAGGCACTCCTCCTATAGGCACTCCTGTAAGCACTCCTTAGAGGCACTCTCCGGGAGGAGTTAGGGAGGAGTCAAGGCGGGCGCCTCCCTCCGCTACTGGGGCCTTGGCACATTGGCACAGGTGGCCTACTTCTCCCACTTCTAGACCTTCTATCCTCTCCTCCTAGATATCTACCCTACACCTAGATACACCAACCGATGACCCTTGTTAACCCTAGCTCCCTATAGCGGGTAAATAAGCATTATCCTTATAGGCATATCTAGCTAAAAGTGTATTATATACACTCATAAACAGCAGGATCTTACTAATTTAGGGAGGTGGAACTAAATTCTACGCGTCGTTCAGCCCGAAGGCGCCAGTTTCACTGTTACCGTTTTGCTGGGACTCACCTGATTGAATGGCAAAAATGGAGGTTCAGAGTTGGCTTTAACCAACGCGAAGGAATGGTCCTCCATGACGTAGGTTTTTTTCCACCTGGGCTTTTGGCCTTTACTGATGACTGCTACCAGGTCAGATACGATGGTCGTCCCCTGTTCTATCGCATGGCACTGTCCGATATGAATGTCCCCTATGCAGATCCTAGGCCTCATTACCACAAGAAGGCCGCTTTTGATCTTGGGGATGCGGGGGCAGGTTTAACGGCAAATGATCTTTAGTTGGTTTGCGACTGCCTCGGGGCTATCTACTACCTGTCCAGTGTAATCAGTAGCTCCATTGGAGATGTCATCGAAAAGAACAATTGTGTTTGCATCCACGAACAGGTAGGAATCATTTTCCTAATTCCAGTGACGAAGCTAAAACACCACAGGATTATGGCATCGGATGGAAGCATACCAACTACCGAACTGGCAATGCCTCCGTCGTGAGGGCACGCGAGCTGGTTTTACAGTCTATCATGACTGTTTCCAACTACGAGTATATTCTGATGTTCATCTTCACTCAGGCTGGTGATGTTGTGTACGAAGTACGCGCTACCGGCATACTCTCCACACAGCCAATCGATGAAGGAGTCCAAGTTCCCTGGGGTACAGTCGTTCATCCTGGTGTCCTTGCTGCACATCATCAGCACATCTTTTCCTTACGAGTCGACCCTATGATTGATGGTCCGAACAACACTTTCAGCTACGACGAGTGCGTTCCATTGCCTCGGGATGCACATCTTAATCCTCATGGAACTGGTTACATCACAAAGGAAACACAGATATCAACGTCAGGTGGATACGATCTCGATATGTCTCGAAATCGCGTCTTCAAGATCAAGAACAACGATGTCAGAAATCCGATCAACCAAGAGGCTGTTGGTTTCAAGGTCTCCGTGCCTGACTACCAAAAATAAGATAACGCGCTGTTGGTCGGACACGGCTGTTCTTGGGACGACGTTCCCTGTCCTGCAGAGTTCGCATTATCCGGTTCCTGGAAGGGCTCGACCACTTCCGCTTGCGACAAGTCCGTAAAAGGGCTCAAGACATGCCTGCCCACTTCTATGTCGGATCCTGCATCTAGAGATAGCAGTTCAGCCTTCGGCTGGTGTCTTTGACGCCGTGGCGGGTCAGGGTTGTCAAGGCCTCTGATCTGCGTCCAGGACAGTCTCAGACCATATCCTAGGTTTGACATCTGTGCGCAGCTTTTGGTGATGAGAGATATATTCATTTGGCAATTGGGCTTTGTATGGTCCCGGGGCTGAAGCTTGACTGTCTGCCCCTGTTGGCAGATAATGCTTGCCGTGGGATAGACAGAAGATTTCGGGGGTTCCACACTACTTCAATCTTGGCAAATATGGCCGTGTTCTCAATTGGGTTGCTGTGATTTGGATGAGCATCATGATCGTTTTCCTTTGTTTTCCACAGTATGTGCCCATCACAGCGGCATCCATGAACTATACTGTCGCAGTCATTGCCGCAGTGACAATTGTATTCACTACCAATTGGTTCCTCTACGCAAAGAAGAACTATTATCTTTCGACAACTGCTGTCACCGACTAGGTCAAATGTCTGAATGAGGATATACTGCATACCATTTGGGTCGGAAGGTTGCCTCTGCTCAGATATTTTTCCCTATTCCCTCAGAATGGATGAACCTAGCTAGTATATATGCACATTTAGGCACTCTAAATGTTGAATTTATTCACTAATATCCATGTTAATTGGTATGATATGGACCAAGGATCAGTATGACCGACCGCAATCTGGCTATAGTCTAGGGCTGGTTTCCTAGTAATAAATTTCATTCTCGATTTTCTCCTTATCATTAATATCATTAATGTAGATGTTGAAAAACCATAAGTGTGTAGCTACTACCATAACCCACCCTAGCTAAGCTTATTTCCTGTAGATCTTTCATTTCTAGGAGCCACCTCTCGTTGCATGAACATGTAAATACTAGTTATATATCCAGTGCTGTTGGTGAGAACGACTACAATTTTCCAACCAGAAGATCTGCACTCTCGAGCACCAAGGCTTTGTCCTCATGGAGTGAAGCTTCTGTATAGCCTGTGTCCAATTGGTCCTTACTCGTAATTATATCGTCCTTCAACGTGTTTAGAGAGATGCTAATCTCGTCTAAATCGCCAAAAATCCTCGCAACTTCTTCCAGGGGAGCCGCAAGGGTACCGGGAAAGTGAAAGCAAAGCCAGGCAATGGCTATGAAACCAGGAATGAGAAGACCATGTAGAACAGGTATCCAATCCTGATGAATATAATTGGGACAACCTGCAGCCAGCCAATATCGATGGTAGTAATGGTAGCCACACCGATGACCACACCTTTGGCATTGGATTCGGTGAAAATCCATATCCTCGGGTAAGCGCGGTATGTCTAGGTCCTATCATGGTTGGCGGCGTCTAAGTATTTTTTGGGCTTCCGCCATGGGAAGTCTCCTGTTCCGATTCAGTTGTGAAACTATGCACACAATGACTATTATGCAACATGAAGATTGTGGCCGCCCTGTTGGGAGTGTCAATTGCTAGGGTACTGGCTTTGATAAGCACAGGCGATGTTTGTCGAGAATATTGATGATAAGCGAACCAGGTAAGCAATACAGTGTTAATTTCAAGGTTTTCTGTTTGAGTCAGACAACACTTTAGGTAAGATGATCTCAACTTTGACTAGACTCACCTCTTCGGCCATGGCAACAGTCAAGTAAGATCAGCCATACTCGTTGTCACTTGCAAGATGGAGTTTTTATGTATTCTTCCACAAGTCATAGAAAGAATAAACCCTCCGTTTCTACTCCCGAGCCTGGTGGCCGGATGGAGAGGCTTTTGCCCTTTGTCGAAATCGATAAATACCAGCAGTCTCTATTGATTCGACGTGAGAGGTCAATGATATCGATCAGCAAACTTTACTTTGATACCGAAGCACAACCTAAATTTATCAGTAGATATTCCCTAGCTACGTGATATGTCGCTCGCCCGTGTTAGAGCGACACAGGAAGGTCTTTTGACCGGCTTGGACTCGCACTTGGCAATGTTGGGCAACACACGGAGCGCCTTAGTAGTGATAAGGACGGGCCCTCTGACCGTGGAGGGTCAAGGGGTGGAGATTAAAGGTACTCGCAGTTGAAAATATCGGAGTAGAGCGCGCGGTAATACTTCTTGGCGACTCTCAAAGAGGCAACAGATGTGAGCACTCGAACGTATCCGCTTCGCCTTATCTACTCAAACCTGGAACTAGAGTTCTTCCGCGGTTTATGCGGGGTCCTCATATTTGTAACCACCAGCAGCTAGTTGATTTTCCTCCCTGAGGGTCTACCCCAAACACCTCGATTTATCACTCAAGGCTGACTGTCGCAAGAACTCTGAAGTCTCATCACGTGTAGTTAGACAATATTTACAGGATTAGAATGCCGAGGCGTGTTATTGGTAAGTGAATATTATCGTCTGCCTAACAGGCCCGCTGTTGTGAGGCCCGCTCTTTGACGCTCTCCCTCTTCACTTTCTAGGATGTTACCAGTGTTCGCGACGTCGCATTAGTTGTGATCGTACAGAACCCCGGTGTCTTAAATGTGCTCGGACAGACCTCGAATGTTCCGGCTTAGGTATCAGATATCGCTGGGCCAAACCAGTCAAGCTCGATACGTTTTCTAAGGATGGAAGAGGTCGTCACAGTAGGCGGTTAGCAAAAGACGTCCCAAGCAATCAAAAAAGCGAACAACGAAACACATCTCCCTCTACTACACATCCTCTACTCGACTTCAACAGTGCCGCAGAATTGATAGATCTGTCAGAGAACACGACCTCAGATCAATGTCTAGCCCGAATTCATACCCTCACCACTGATATTGAGAGGCGAGTCCCGTTTACAGTGGTACCCTCTTGTCGTGAGGACCAATGGGCCATCCATTTTTGTCAGGAGAAACTCCAACCCAGTGTGTTCTATCCAATGAGTTAACAATTTCACAGTTGCTGTTGATGTATCACGATGGTTCATCCCGACGAGAAATTCCAGAAACGAATTCTTCACTCTGCTTGCACCATTTGCGATTGAATCACCCGATGTCTTTGCTGCCATGGCGGCCACAGCTTTCCATCGCCTAGCATATTACGGCAATGCTGAGTTTGGGGTCAAAGCCGAGAGATACAAATCGTCCGCCATCACTGGCTTGCTGCGCAAAGCCCATGGAATATGTGGGACGCCAAACTCGTGGGAAACACGTCTTTCCGCCATAGCCGTTATCATGATTATGATATATGACGATATGGTCTCCGCTCAAAATTATTTCAGAATTCTCGCCCCCATTTTGAGAAATCTATACTATATGATGAAGTCCTCGGACCTCGTCAATGATTGTCTTGGAACGTTCCTAGCTGAACAAATGGGACTGTGAGTGCCGGCCATACTTATGGCGCCGAAAGGAATGCCACTGATAGCCATTAACCTAGATTACTGGTCCTCTGTTTGCCATACTTCGATCCTGGTGAGGAGCAGAGAGACATGGCGACCGAAGGATTGAAATTCCTGGATGACTTTGCCTCCAGGAGTGACCGCCATCCTAATGCTTCGTTTTTAGCGTATTGCCTCCGGCTTAGTGTCTCAGTCTGGCTTCAGAAGGCGGAAGACCCTTACCTGGATCTGGATCCGACTTTGGAATCCTTCAAGTCACAGCTCCAAGAGTTTCGTGACTTAACGGACCTTGATCATTATTTGACATGGGTATATTTTAACTGCGCTGCAGCGTCGATGAATGAACAATTACGGCAGTTTTTTGCGAACCACCTGGAACAACAGATGCAAATCATCGGCTTCAAAAATATTCCTTTGATGCTGCAACTTCTACAACGCCTCTGGAAAGATGATCGCAGCTGGCCATCCACATTACAACAGCACCATGAATATATATGTGCTTGAAGGGATTAGTCGGCTTCATCAATATGACAATTCTAAGGCATCTTAGCAGTGCTTATGGAGGAAGTTTGACTTATAGAATCTAGGGTTGGGAGATAGGATATAGTGAAGTGTCATTGATGACCGGCGATAATTGCTCGCTCACGATCTTTGCTGTTACTATGTGTTCTTAGCTGACAAAGCAAGAAGCCATGGTACAAGGCGCAATGCGTATCTTCATACTTCATTGGGCGGTATACTGCGTGATAGTTATTCGGCTCGTTCCTCAGAAACTAATAGCGAATGATATCTCATCGTCTTTACCAGATACCTTTCGTCATTTGGCACCTAGTCACTTGCTCATGTCGATTTGTATCTTCACTTCTCGATCCTTATGCTGTATCAAAGCAGAAAATCCGTCTTCAACTACTCTATCAATAGAGATAGTCCTTGTAATCATGGCTTGTGGGGTCAGCAGCCTAGCTTCAATAGCCCGGATCACACCTTGAAAATCTTCCCGCGAATAGCCTAGAACTGCTCGAGAGTGCCGTTGTCAGTGTATGTATCGAGAAGGAGCTGCTAGGCTGTGAAGACACGTACCCGAGTGGTATCTGCGTTCTCCAAAAACCAAAAGGTTGGGGTTAAACTCAACAGCCTTCTCCCAGATCGCAACGTTTACGACGATTCCCCTTGGCCTCGTTGCGAGGCAAGCTGACTTCAAAGTAACGGCAAGTCCTGCACAGTCAATTGAGATTTGGGGACCCTGTCCGTCGTCACTGAGATCTCGAGCCACCTTCACAATGTCTTCCTCATTTGTGTCTACAACATGTGTGGCTCCAAATTCTCGGGCGAGCATTTGGCGTCGAGATGAGACTTCCGCGACAATAATTTTTTTGGCTCCTCTTGCTTTGCAGCATTGAATGACTCCAAGGCCGAGTGGACCTGCCCCGAAAATGAGAACGTGGTCTCCTGGCCGAATGCCGCTCTCAGTTACTGCTCGCCAGGAAGTAGCTAAAGGCTCGACGAGGGCTAACAATTTTAGTAAGGTTATGGAAATTGGAGGCGATGGCACTCACCACCGATATCCAGTCCAATACCTGGCGGCAGTTTGTGAACAAACTTGGAATTGACGCAGAGGAAATCGCTCATGCCTCCTCCGCCACCTGAAAGTCCAATAAACCCGCCTTTTATGCAGCAGTTATAATTCTCTTCTTTACAGAACGTACAGTTGAAACAGCAGATTGTAGACTGGACTGCAACCTTATCTCCCAGTGAAATGAAATCAGGATTGACTTCTGACCCAACCTCAACGACAATGCCTGATATTTCGTGGCCGATGGTAACAGGCCTTGACTCCCCCGTCACAGGATGTGGCTTTTCCTTGGATGGAATGAAGGTAGGGGAGGAATATTCATGAAGGTCTGTACCACATATTCCCACGAAGCTCGGCTGAATCTTTACTTGATCTTTCCCACAAAGAGGCTCATTGATATCATTTTCGAGGCGAAGATCCCCAGGACCATGAAACCGAAGGGCACGCATTGCTTCGCACGTGGGTTCTTCGAAAAGTAACTATTGGCAAGGGGGAGCTGCTTGCCTAACGGTTTACATTTATGGTAAGTTTATGAAGGAATCTTGAGTGGATTGCACCGCAGCAAGCCTTCTGATTGTGGTTCGAAAGACATCATGTCATCGCATGGAACGAGAGTGGATCAAAAGGCTAGAACACGATAACCCTGGGCTTAGGCTTCCCCATTAGACTTTCATGCACAGTGCTCATCATTATTACCAATTCTGCCCTAGCCAAGATCTCCTGCCATACTACTTCAAGACATGCACAGCTCTACCTAGTCTCGAATCTGAGCATTTCTTGAAACACGATGCCGTAACTGACTACAAAGTTGGTGTCAGAGTCAGACTTGGAATGTTCACCTGTAGCCTGAAAACCCAAAGGTTGCGTTATCCATCATTCGCTCTACTCTGAATTGAAGAAAGCATGGCACATTCAATACAGGGCAAAACTGCCATCGTCACTGGAGCTGGTAGTGGCATCAACTTTGCATTTGCCCAGCAGCTACTAGAAGGTGGCTGTAATGTCTTGTTTGCCGATATCAGTCTGCGTCCAGAAGCGCAACAAGTCCTGGCTGCGCATGCCAACTCCCAACTCTCTCTAGGGCGTGCGGTATTCCAAGAGACGGATGTGAGAGACTGGAAACAGCTTCAGCGCATGTTCGAAAGGGCGGAGGCCGAATTTGGGGAGGTGCAGATTGTCTGCCCGGGCGCTGGTGTCTACGAGCCTGTGTGTTATTCTCAACCAAATTGAACTTTAGCTGCTCTCTGTACGTTGTTGTAATCCACGCTGACCATATTCCTGATTATCATAGAACTTCAGCAACTTCTGGTATCCTCCAGGAACGCCACAGAGCCGGGATACAGTCGAAGAGGGTCGGTATGCCTTGCTCGACATCAATCTAGTACACCCCATTCGCACCAGCCAGATTGCCATTTCACGATTCCTAAAGTCTCAGTCAGGGCCAAAGACAATCATCATAATCTCAAGCACCAGTGCACAAGATACATGTTTTGCAACACCAATGTATGACGCCTCGAAACATGCGACAACGGGATTCGTCCGAGCACTTTCGAAACTCCACAGAGTTGGCATTCGCATTGCTGCCGTAGCCCCCGGTATCATCAAAACACCATTATACACTGATAACCCTGAGAAGCTCGCCATGATAGATCCAATGAGTGACATTTGGGTTGAGCCCTCCGAAGTGGCGACCGTCATGGTGGCGTTGATTGAGCGAGATTCTATCTGCTCCAAGATCAGTGAAGCTGCAACAGGGAAGCAAGACATTCAAATCACAGGGGGGACCATTTTGGAAATTACCAAAAATCACGCACGTTTGGTGACTGCATATCATGATCCAGGCCCGTCAGGGGCTGGTGCACTCGCTTCAAATGCAGCTGAGTCGGAAGAAATTGCGCTATCAAGACTGGTACCCGGTTGGGGGTAGGCTCCACGCTCTACTGTTGTTCCGACGAATATATCCATAGTTCCCGTCTGCGAGGGTCGTGTTGTCTGTTCTTAGCTAAGGACCCGTTACTGAGCATCGTGTACGAGTATTAGGTTCTCGTCGGTGGTAATGGGCACGGTTGTGGGGCCGAGGGGCCGCCTCCATAAGCATATAGATAGGTCCAGATTCAAAACAATGGAGAGTTAGCATAGTGGCATGCAGTATTAGACCAAGGGGAGGTGCACAGGTCCAAGAAAAGAGAGTTTAGGTCACCATGTCGCACCTAGATGTTGATCTCTGAATCCAGGCTTCACGTTCTGAGTGAATTAGGCCCCTATAGTCTGAAATAGTGCCCCCGTAGCAGAGCATTCAAATACCAAAGGCAGCAAAAATTATGAGCGCATCGCCTGCTAAGGCAATGGGCCACGTAAACGTGGATTTACCCACGAACCCACAAGCGATACTAATGCAGATACTCCATTCAGAGGGGCAAGTTCCACTGTAGCACTAAACTCGATTAGGGGAAAGTTTTGAGCATGTTCAGATTACGTTGGGCTACTGTACTCCCATTAAGGAGCTTTTAAGAAATCCACTTTGTGGAACAGCCGGTTATACCTATCCTCAAGCCCGCCCCTAGGTATGCTCAAACGAACCTACATAGGCACCGTAGGTAGAAGTTAGATACCAGCATCAGACTCGAGAGTTCCTTCAAAATGCAAACTGAGTTGCAGGCCAAGGGAACTGCAGAACCAACTGCAGCAGTGACCAAGGTCGACGTCCTAATCGTCGGTGCCGGATTTTCAGGGTGTTACTTACTACATAAGCTGCGGAGCGCAGGTTTCAAGGTTAAAATAATAGAGGCTGGCAACGGATATGGAGGAGTGTGGCATTGGAATTGTTATCCGGGAGCTCGCGTGGATAGCCCCGTACCTATCTACGAGTATGACATACCAGAAGTATGGCGGTCATGGTCATGGCCTGAGATGTTTCCGTCCGGGCCACAGATCCGGGAATATTTCCACCATGTCGACAGAAAGCTAGACTTGAGTAAAGACACGATTTGGAATACGAAGGTTGCAGCTGCTGAATGGGTTGAGAAGGACGGAGAATGGATCGTTTCTTCAGACGACAGTCGAGAGTTTCGATCACAGCACTTGATCATGGCTACCGGATTTGCAGCCAAAAGATCTTTCCCCGATTGGCCCGGACTGGCTAACTTCAAAGGCGAAATTCACCATTCCAGTTTCTGGCCGTATGAAGGCATTCAGCTCGAAGGCAAGAGGGTTGGAGTCATCGGTACCGGGAGCACCGGTTTGCAGATCGCGCAGACAATTGTGGACTCTGTTGGACATTTGACAGTGTTTCAAAGGACTCCAAACATGGCCCTGCCTCTCTTACAAGATAAGCTGGACGACGAGGAGGAAGAAATGCGCAAAAGAAAACTACCAGAGCAATTCAGAGCACGACTCACCACCTTCGCTGGTTATCTCTACGACTCAGCGGATCGAGGCACGTTTACAGATACTCCAGAAATGCGAGAGGCGTTTTACAATGAGCTGTGGGCAAAGGGTGGTTTTCATTTCTGGCTGGCGAACTACAACGACCTCCTCTCTAATATTGAGGCAAACAACGAAGCGTATACCTTCTGGGTCAAGAAAGTGCGTCAACGCATACAAAATCCTACTATTGCCGGTATTCTTGCACCGTTGACTCCTCCGCATCCATTCGGCACAAAGCGGCCTGCTCTCGAATGGCGCTGGTATGACATGTTTAACGAGAAGCACGTCCAGCTTGTGGACTTGCAAGCAACTCCAGTCGATTTTGTTACGGAGAAAGGGATTGTGACCAAGGACGGCAAATTACATGAACTCGATGTCCTTGCCCTGGCGACAGGATTCGACGCCATCACCGGAGGACTTAATAACATTGATATCAAGTCAAGGCATGGGAACCTGCTGAGGGAGAAATGGGCTGGTGGTGCTCGGACGGCACTGGGTATGATGGTATCCGACTATCCCAACATGTACATGTTGTACGGGCCTCAAGGTCCAACTGCGTTTGCCAACGGGCCGAGCTGCATCGAGATTCAAGGAGATTGGCTAGTCGAAGTCCTCAAAGACCTTCGCCAGAAGAATTTACGCACGATTGACCCAAAACCAACGGCGGAAGAACGGTGGGAAAGGCTCATCGAGGACATCACAAGCAAGACATTGTTTCCTCTGGCAGATTCTTGGTACATGGGGGCCAATGTCCCGGGCAAGAAGCGCAAAATGTTGAACTACACAGGTGGAATCCCGGCATATGCCAAAGAATTGGAGCGTGCTAGAAGACAAGGATATGATGAATTCAATCTCTCTTAGCAACAAAGAGAATGAATCATTTTCGCGGTTAGAACATTGGTGCTAATATCTCCCCCCCTCACAATGTCAATGGTCAAGTAGAATTTCACAGAATTAATGTTCCAGTGAACTTCATCAAGGCTGCTGATTTGCAACTATTGCATCCATGAAGCCTCGATTCCCTAATCTGAAGTTGGATTATACTATTGGTTGGGGGATCCATATTCATTATCACTTTATCTCTTATCATGAAACGTTGCTCGAGCCTATCAACTTTGACCGCGCTTAAGCAAGGTCGAAGGCCGAGGGGGCATTACAAACCACCCCTGTTGACTGGATCAAACTGATAACGTTGGCCATAACCAATGGCGCGAATGCTCCCCATTTTGTCAATTTTCGGTTAGTCGAGATACTGTGCATCGACCCTGATCTCCCCGCATAGCTGCTGGTTGTGAGTCTCATTGATCCCGACAGATGTTGATTTGTATGTAAGAAGGTCTACATGTATCCGCGGGACCCCTACCTTTAACACCTTTTGAACAGTCCGCACTGTGGAAGTGCACGACGCCACAAGCCTTTTCTTTCCTCAACATCCACGATTACTGCGTGGGCGACCGACATGACAACCATTGCTCAGCCCCCCCAAGACTATCCGCCAGAAATCACCGGATATGTCGAACCGTGGATTGCGAATCCAGGTGACACTGTACAAGTAAAGGTTGGCGCCACTGAGTCCTAACCCTTTGTCGGATTATGCATCCATCCTGGAAGCACAAACCTTCATCTTGCCTCAGTGTTTTGGGTCCGGATGAAGCATTTCCTGCATTCACTTGAAACTGGAGGCAAAAACAAATTCAACTGACATGACATCCGCAGGTATCATGCACGGAGCCAGAATATAGGTATCGCCTGCTCCGTGTAGTACAGGGTGTTGACATTCCAAATTCCCCACAGCAAGAATTGCAGCACATATCCGCGACACCTAGTGGCCTTTCCCAAGGAAGATTTCAACTCGCACACCCTGGTTCGTATGGCATCGTCCACAAAGGCCTTTCGATCTCTGCCAACCAAGGTGTCAAGATATCACTCCATTTCCAGCCGCACCTAACAGAAGCTGGACACATTCAGGCCGTTATCTCTAATCTTAACCCGGAGCTCAAATCGGGACTTGCCTTGGTAATCA